GAAATTGACGTCGAGATTTGGGGTATTTCATACGATTTGTTCGGATAACGGTACTTATTTTGTGTCCAATGAGTTTAAAAAATTTTGCGCTCGTAATGGAATAAAACATATAACCTCCCCAGTTTACAATCCGGCCAGTAATGGCCAGTGTGAAATTTATGTCAAAATAATAAAACGGGCAATCACAGGACTTATATTATCACAAACAAAAGCCAAAGATTTTAATTTAAAATTACAAGAATTTTTATTCCATTACAGAAACTCAGAGCACAGTACTACAGACAGATCCCCTTCAGAATTATTATTTGGGCGTAAATTAAGAAGCAGGTTGGATCATCATCCGATGCTACACTCGACGCGCTCGTAAACATTATCGCGTCAATAGGGAAGTGAGTTATACTGTGGGTGAATTAGTGTTAGTGCGAATCACCGATAGTTCTAAGAAACGATAGGTTAATTAGACTATTACAAAGAAACTTGGTGCATCTGTGTATATTGTGCACAGATGCACCAAGTAACCAATAGGAACCAATGTTGCAGTCTGTCCTTGTAGATTGCCCACTCGTGCACTTCATCGTTGAAAGTTGCTAGCGATCCAACCGAAATTTTGGCCATTATCACGCGTGTAACTGAATTTTTTATCCCATCCTCGTCGCCACTGTTACCTACCGCCAGAGGGAGTCACTGGGAGACAGTAATTATACACAACCACTCTTGTTGACACGTATATTGCGACTCAAAAACGACGCGAGGCGCAGCCACGCTTCTACTTAGAACTACCCACAAAACACATACATCGTATAAAAACTAAATAACTAATCTACACGAATTGCACGCACTCGCCGGCTACGTGTGGCGCAATCTGGTGTCGGGTAACCGGCCTCGGAAACACCGATATACGACACCCTTCGGCCAAAACTCCTCGTTCATGAAAATCGACAGCTGTCCGGTCGGCACTCTCACCACAAACGAATTAAAATTCGCGTTATGACGGGACTCCAACGGCTCGACCCTCAGCGTGTATTTGACTTTTAGCCTGGTGTACTCCACTATGTCCTCAGACTTCGTGGAGTACAGCAGCGTCCTCGGTATGACCGGACGCAGCAGAAAGTTTATTATACTATGCCTTAGCTGTATTTTCGCGTCCCGAGATAAAAATATCGAGTCTCGATACAGTCTCGACATCCCGGGAAAAACGTAAGTTTCCACACTTGTAAGCTAGGCATTCAGACAGCCAAAACATCATCATTTTAATTCTATTAAGTTCGTTATTGACTTAAATTATAAAATATAAAATTATTTATGGTAGTTCTTTTTTTAGGTACAATGGGTACGTGAGAACAAAAAGGCGTTTAATGGAGTTTCAGATAGAGACCATTTTTAATCTCCACAGATTAATACTGAGCTCCTCTCTACAGTGTTGCCATATCCATGTAACAAGAATACAAAATAACCATTATAGTTTACTACATTTTGATAAAGTGATTTAGATCTCAAAAATCTCGATAGTCCCGAGACTGGAAACATCAGTCTCGTAAATGTCAAAGTATTGTCGAGACTGTAGAAATTATTGAGACTGAGGATCATATTCCAGAACTCTACTCAATGCTCAAGACAGGCTCATTTCTAGTGCTTGCTTGAAATCGTACTCAAGTCCTGACTTGATCATTGAGTAGAGTTCTGGAATACGACTCTGGTTTTCCCGGGATGAACACTCTAGTAATCACATCTCAAGCAAGGCAAATTATAGCGAGCGAGTGGCACGCGAACGGCACGCGAACAGGTCGCACTACAAAATGCACGTGTGCAGGTCGCAAACATGCGCATTCGCCAGATTTGTTAACAACGCTTACCTATATTACTTATGTATCTACATTATTTTTATATAATATCAAGTGACGGGACGAACAAGTCGTGCGCCTCGTCGTCGTGGCCGCATGTGCTTGTAATTTCACCGGCACCCCCTTAAAAACTGGAACGTGGTAACATTACTACTTGGCGGCAGAAATAGGTAAGGTGGTTGTACTTCTCTGGACGAAATCTTTCACAAGGAGCTCTACTGCTACTAAACTTGTACTTATTTGTGTCAAATAGGTATTTTGCGTCTGACCGTAATCTTCCTTGATTATTACAGGTCGTAGGTGTCACTTCGCTAAAAGGGTTGAGCGGTAAGCTTTTCGGACCCAAATGATTTTCCACAATTTACAGAGTCTGTTGGTTGGACTACACACAGAGCGACTAATGTAATATATGAGTTGTGCTAAAGGTGGTTTACATGAATAAGACTATAGATACGTGAGCTGCGTTCCAACTGCAACATAGCAGTTCAAAAGCAGTCGTCTTCACATTGGCTGCAAGTCACATATATATCGTCGGCTAGACTGCTACCGTATGTTTGAGAGTTGGTACACCATCATTGGACATATCCAAAGTAACAAGCAACAAATCTCCCAGTGAATAGTTCATCCAGAGAAATACTGCCACCTTACCTGTTTCTGCCGCCAAGCAGTAACGTCAGCATTACTGTGTTCCGGTTTTGAAGGATAAGAGGGGTGCTGGTGAAATTACAGACATATGGAACTTGTCAACATATGTCTCACGGTGACAGGCGCAGTGGCAGTGCCCCTTAGATCTTTGTAATTTAAAGCTCTGAGTGGCACTGCAATTGTTATGGACAGGCGTGTAGCTTGGCATCAGGCGCATGACTTGTTCATCCCGTCACTTGATATGATTTTTAAAAAAGCAGTACCTACTTATAAGTTACAAAAAAAATTAATATGCGTCAGTTACTTTTAAAAGCGTTCCAATTATAAGTTACTTAAGCAGAGCTACAATAATATAGCGTATGCCATCGGTACATAGAGATTGCATTGATGCGATAATAAGAAGCATCAAGGGCGCCGACTATACCCGATGTAAAACACAATGTATATTATTTACGGTATGCTGACGAGTGTGGTTCAACCCTCATAAGGTCTAGAGAGTTTAAAGGGCATAACGATGTCAGTAAGTCACTGACTGGCCCTTAACGTGTACCACAAATTAGAAAGATTTATTACGGGTATGGGTAGTATATATGGGGAAAGCGTTACATTTCTATCACCGTGGGTATCGTTCCAGTTACAAAGAAAAATCACAGTGACAAACCACCGTGAAAAATTACCATTTTGGGTTGAACAATGTACAAAACTGTTTAGAATCATTTTGTGTCATAAAATATTTTCAATTCAAAAATTACTTGGAAATGAGAAGGGTCACGGCCCATAGAAAATTACGCAAAAGAAACATCTTAGAATATTTTTTATATTGGGAACATAAACTATGTTTTGATTTCTATTTCAGTGGCTAACATGTCAAATATTGCCTTTTTTGTACTCAGGTAAACTATTCTTCGAACGATGTTCAAACGGTTCTTTCAGATATCCCCAGAATCTCAGCAGTTTTATTCGCACACTCGCACAAAGACCAATATTCATTTAGTGGCCAGGTTTGAAATGTATTCTTGTAGACATTCATTATATTATAACCTTTTCGGTTACGTACGGGTGGGGTCTTTTTTTTCTGCCTCCACATACGTTATGCTCACACGAACGCAAGCAAACACAAACGTAACAACAGAGTAAAACGAAAATTCAACAAAAAAAAATAACACAAAATGAAAACTCAACAATTTTAAACAAAAACTCAACAACATGACACAGACGCAGCAAGAAACACATTCGATAACGACAGTCGCCAGAAACCGAATTAAGTAAGAAAATCGCGGTGATGCACTGGTGCGGATGCAACCCGACAACCTGACCCGTTATCCATCCCTATCGATCAAAAACTGACTTTTCATTTTATATACTATTTAGTAATGAACCATTTTTATTATTTCAATTTTACGATTACGGACAGCCAAAGGTTGTTAATCTCCGAAACATTGCCAATAGGATAAAAGATCTTTCCACAGGAAATAGTTTTTTGAGATTATAGATATTAAATATGGTGTTTTAAATAAAAAATATAATTTGATAATATTTTGTTTGTACATGCATACAATTTAAAATCAATATAAAACATAGGAAATGAAACTATTTTTCCGGATTTAAATCGCGTATATTTGTTTTTACAAGCAAATCGACGTTTCGGGCCCTTTACAGGTCCCATGGTCACGTTTGACTGAGGTGGTACAGTCTTCAACCAGTTATGTCTAATATTAATGCAAACCACCCCATTTTTTCACTATAGTTACAATAGTTAATAATTAAATACCTTATTTTTAATTTTACATTTCTTTGTTTTTTACATTCCAATTTACGCTACATTAAGTTTTACAAATTATTTTATTGAATGAATTTTTATTAAGTTAAGGTAATGAATCTTTGTAATATAATGATCTTTACATAAATTGTGTACCACACATAACACGTCGCGCCTCTTCCGAAGTATTCACAGTGTTTGGAATTCCCGTAAGTACCATATCTAGTTTCGCTTCTTGCCCGTGAGTCAACTGACTGGTTCACCCGGTATACAGGCAATTTTTTCGGTATGTTCCACAAATCCCCACTGAAAAATTCCCACTGGTGGGAATCCTAAAGTTTAATTTTTACTACGTCATCGACCCAGCGCGCGTTTTCTTTCAATAAGTGTAAAAACTTCGATATTTTGTCAGTGTAGCTATGCAAGCAAGTACTACGCCAGTAGGGATTTGTGGAATAATTAAATCAAACTTTAGGATCCCCACCAGTCGGAATTTTAGTGCGGAACGTACCATTTTTTCTGTCCATACTTCACCTCTTAGTGTAAAATAATTAAAAAAACTTATGTTGATGATGGTCCACCTCGAACGGTCCACCACCTCAGACGTTTAACAGTTCGATGCTGGCCATTATAATATAGTTTGATACGTTACACGATTGTAATAAAAATCATTATGCCATGTACAATTTCGTTACAAAAATCCACTTCATTCCGTACCGTGGCAATGTAAATCGAACTAAGGAATGACGTTGTACTAAAAGAAGACTAAAGACAAATAACACCTCCTGATTGGTTGGTTTCTTTGACATTTCATATAAACGCTTATTTCCAGACTGTTACCTATGTGAAATGAAAAATAAAACTAAAAAATTGTATAATAAACAGATATTTATTACGTCAAAGTATCTTCAGACCGGATATACTCCCCGATGTCGGCTTGGTGAAACGCTATGGTAGCTAACGGATCCGCGTGGCGACATTCCGCGGTGGTCCGGGCCGCGACGCCGAATCCAATTGGGATGTCGGCCATTGTCATTATTACTACACCCTGGTGTTTAGGTGTATTCTCCGTTATACGTCCTAGACCTGCAAGGATATTTAGTAAAATATTAATAGAATATTTACTACCAGGCCGATTTTTCTGCCGCCCAGGAAGTAATGTGAGCATTATTGCAATCCGGTTATGAAGGGTAAGGGTGCTGGTGAAATTAGGGTGACGGGCGCACTGGCAGTGCCCCTCAGATCTTTGTGATTTAAAGCACTGAGTGGTACAGGCGTACAGGTATTTCGGACAGGCGTGTCCCTTACCACCAGGTTCGTCCCGTCACTTAAAAAACCGTCTTATAAAAAAATATAATTATAACATTTATAAATAATAATAATACAGGGAATTGAATTGCCCGCACATTGGACACCCTGCCCAGTGGACGTAAACATAGGGATTCAAATTTCTATTAATATTAATAACGCACACACTACATACATACATAGTCCTGCTCTAAGGAAACCCTGTATCGCGGGTGCCATGGACACACATAGACCACCGCAAATTACACCCAAACTCACGAGAGAAATAATGTAGGCCCTACAAATATTTCTCCCGGCCCGGGAATCGATGCCGGGACCTTTGCGTGTCAGGGCAGATCAGCATGGTAACCGTTTGGCCACGGAGGCAGTCTGTGTAGTATATGAGTTGATACAGAGAGATTTCAAGTATTAATGCACATTTTCCTCTATTTCATTTCTTGAATAAAGTAAACCTTACCATTTGGAAATGAAACTATTTTTCGGATCTAAACTGCGTACCTACATTTATTTTTTCATACGTTTCACACTCTTTACGGGTCTCATCTCAAAATCTTAGAACTCAATAAATCTTGTTAATCCTTCACATTATTTCGTTAACCACAGTTAGGCTTTAACTCCGAAATTCCTACAAAAACATTAATTCAACCTTTCACAATATTATTAACGTAGTTATATATTATCATGTACCTAAACTTTTGTAACTACCTAACTAATCACAATAGTACAACAACACAGAACAAAGTTAACCGGACCAAAAATTTACCAGGAGGCGGGCGTACGTCTCTCATATAGTCTAACCAGGCCACGGTAACGTAGACACGTGGGAAGACTCCCACATCCAATCCAATTTCGTTAATACCATTTCAAACAAAGGATTGTTACGGATGCATACTTCTATACATAAGTATCAATAGCATAATGCAATTTTCCAGCACAGTAGACAGATTAATTACAGGTAATTTTTATTATCACTTGTTTTAAAGAAAATTTTGTATGGAAATCAACGCAGGGACAGGTGTGTATGCTGATACACATCGGATTTCTGATTTCTAGTCACAACTTATTATAACATTCAATTGTATTTAATGACTAATGTTTGCCTTCTGAAAAAAAGCAGCATATAGTTAGTCAATATTAGTTTAGCAGCAGTGTAAAATGGGTAGTTCCCTGGCACCCTAGAAATCAGTCTCTTAACTATCCACAGAAAAAGTTAACGTGATCAGCATCAAATATCAAATCCTGTGCATTTTCACAAACACCATTAGTAACGTTCTTTCATCGTCATCCTACCTTTTTAACACCCTTTTCTCTGGTTCCTAACCACCTACTTTGAAATTTCGAATAGTTTTTTTTAATTCCTTTTCTTCGTCAATCTTGCTTGTCTTCTTTTGTAGCTTTCTTCTTGGGCTCCTTAATTTAATTCGGGCGCCATCGCCAGTGTGGCCGAAGTTTTTGCATAATAATTGTAGAAAATACAAGCCCTTTTGGGGTAAGTTCCTTTTTACTGTCTCTAACCTGTTAACCTGCATATAATTTAAGTAGGGAGTGCTTTATATTATTGTACCTGTGTTTATATCGTTATTTTGTTAGAGCCTTTACGTCTTTACCTTTATTCCTATTCCTATTTTACAATAAATGATGTGGACCGAGCATTTTTGATTACTCAAAACCCTCGGCCACAAACTTGTCTTCAGAACCAAACACTTTTTTTCCAACTCTCGGATACATAGTTTTAGTAACAATGTACCTTAATAAATTAGTAACAATTGAGTATATTTTTTAAGTAGATAAAACTCTCCGACAACGACGCGTGGCACAGATGCCGTATGCAGCTGCACCCAGGGCTGCACTATCACAGAGTCCCATCTACTGCAAGGGCACTAAGGATGCCAAATACTACAGAAGCAATCTGTATGTGCCTCAGAAAAATAGTATAGAGGCACCACAGAAGCGCAGCAAGCTATATAGCACCTTAAACGTTGTATTATATTGAACGCTTAGGGCGCCATTTGCACGCTGCGCAAAGTTAATGTATGTACGAAGGTCTCGTCAAAAAAATCATGGCGGGTAGTTGCAGTTTTTACATAAATTTTTAGTTTAAATATTGTTACGGTACTCTATAGCCAATGTTCTATAAATAAATAATAATTTATATATAATATAAGAAGGACTTTAACTTCCGACTAAACAAAAATGGCGAGCTAAGCAAGATTTCTGTATTCACAAAATCTTTTCCTAAGTTTAAGCAAAAAATAAAGCTTTGAGTTTACTTCATAATTTTTCATAAGTTTAAGCGAAAAATTACGAAATAAACTAAAAGTTAAATTTCATTTCATGCTTAAGTCAAAATTAATTTCATAAATTCAGAGTAAGTGCGCTGACTAAAACTCTCACTGGACACTATGTTTTGAATGCACATGTCCAACTTCAAGCTAAGTGAGAGCAGAGTCTGTAGATTCTGCTATGAAGTGAATAAGTTGCACCTGCACCTGCTAAGACAGTATTACTTTATAATCGGCATACGACACTCACTCCTGCACAAACATATGCCCCAGCCAGATGAGGTAAAGACATTACTAAAAAATCCTACATTTCGTTAATTATGTCAAAATTAGTAGCGATCTTTTTTTTATAATAGCAAATTACGGGACGAACAAGTCGTGCGCCGATAGTAAGTTATAGTCCATAACAGTTGCAGTGCCACTCAGAGCTTTAAATCGCAAAGAAGGGCACTGTCACTGCTTTTGACACGCTCAGATATAAGTTGACAAGTCCCATGTGCCTGTAATTTCACCCTTCAAAACTGTAAAACAGTAATGCTAACATTACTGCTTGGTAGCAAAAATAAGTAAGGTGGCAATACTTCCCTAGATGAACTCTTTCACAAGCAGCTCTACTGATACAAAATCATTACCCTTCTGCATCCTTCGCTGGTTGCAATGATGCTGATTTGTTGAATAAACCACCCTCATAAATATATTAATAATAACAGATTTCAAAGTATAGGATTTGAAATTCCACCCTTAACTTTCTAAGTATATACCAAGTCAGTCAGCCGTGACCAAGGGGTCTGTAAAGGGCTTGTAACGTTGGTGTGTTTGAAAAACAAATATTTCTACGGGATTTAATTCCCAAAACAGTTTCATTTCCAATATCTAGCAATCGCAAAAGTCTAAGAATTCAAGGTTGTTAAAGAAGACAAAATTTTCACATTCAAACTACCTGCTATGCTAATAGGTAAAACACAACATCACATCATACAAAAACATCATCCTTGTACCCACAATCATTTTGAAATATACAAACATAGGCCTATTTTAATAAAAGGAGGAGGTTCTTAATTCGACTGTGCTTCTTTTGGTATGTATGTATGTATATTCCACCTCTAAGGGTGGCAAACTAGTGGATCAATGACTGTTGAGGCCAGTTTTTTAGGACTCTGTACTGAGATTATGAGAGAATGGTAAATTGCAGAAAAGCTTTTGCCTAACACTAACCGATGCAGGTACATAGACTGGGGGAAGCTTTGACTCAGTAACATGACAATGTAGCAACAGCAATGTCCTTGCAACACTATCCCAGTCTGTCCTAAGAAATTTCATATTTTAGTATAGAAAGTTGTTGCACTGGAACATTTGCCACTTTCTACATTGAATTACCTTTTTCAAATATTCACCCTTTTGTCATTTCAATAGAAGCATTAATAAACCCACACTTACCACTCTTTATAACATGATGTCCATACAAAAACTGTTGTTCAGAAGACGGCTTTACCCAAATCTTAAATGGTGCATATGGTGCTATATATGTCAGTGCTGTTATATGAAGTCTGAATTTGTTTGTCTTTGTGAACTTTCCGAAGCATGTTCCTGTAATGTGAATAACGAGGAATATTGTTATTACTTATTCAAATAATGGACAAATAGACTTTACAAGTACAATGTATCACTTTAACCCGTCCCACACAACATATGGTGTCCCTAACAGTTTTGGTATTGTAAAGTCCTAGAGCAACATGTGTCTCTAACACACAGCTGTGTTTATCCACTGTTAACACATTCAGTACCAAGGGCCTCCAAGGTTAAAACCATGGGAATCACATTTGTTTTACTTATATGTTTCTATTGGTATTAATTTAGTGTATGGATGAACCCCTACCTATCCCCTGTGCCCCTTTATTAGTTTTTTTCTCAGTTGTATCAAGCAGGATACATTGGCCTAGAAGTTAATCACGCCTCGAACTCCAGCTCACAGCCATACATCCTACTTTCTCCCCTAAAATTCACTGTAGACATTGCTTTTAGCAGCAATGCACAGAAGCACATAAATAATTAAAAATAATAAAAAGGAATGTAAAAATATAATATTATATGTATACACTGAGATACACCGGTCTAAAGAGGCAAACTATACCTGTGTATACCCAGGGATAAACAGGCCTGGGGCAGAAATATTAGCTGTATATCAGGGTATACATGTGGCGCTGAGCATGTTAAAAAGAAATTAAATTTATTCCAGTAGTATTTGTTCCAGTGTACCAAGCTTTAAATTGCAAAGATCTGAGGGGCATTCCCACTACACCCATCACCTTGAGACATAAGTTGATATGTTATAAGAGATAAGTTGACAAGTCCCATGTGTCTGTAATTTCATCAGCACTCTAACCCTTCAAAAACCAGCTTGCAACAATGCTCACATTACTGCTTGGAGGCAGTAATAGGTAAGGTGATAGTACTTCCTTGGAAAAACTCTTTGACAGGGAGCTCTACTGCTACTATATGTGGTGTGGTGACAATGAGTAAATGAATATGAATATACAATAATATAAATAGAATAGTTTTGCGCCTTTGTCTAAACCTTGAAACAATACGAATTTGCTCTTACATCACGTACCTGCCGATACTAGATGTTCTGGTTTCACAGTTTGTGCTAACGCAAGTAAACGTTCAGATATATAATACACACGGTCTTTCTTCTCTCTAAAACAGTATGTTCCATCTGGTCTGTCTATTAGCAGCTTAACATTCACGCCAATACTGTAAATAACACATTTATCACGTTGAAATACGAGATTTTCGAGTGGAAGTTTTACATGTCAACAGTTTGGAATTAGAACATAAAATACTAATTATTTTAATAATACGCACTATTTAGTAAGCTTCTCAAATAATATTCTAGTTCTTTCTTCAGAAAGAACCTTCATTTTGTAGTTTTCTAGTTTATTTATAAGATAAACAACACGTGCGTTTGCAGTTTGCAGTTCACCGCATGACAATGACATTGACAGTTGACACATCTAAAATTCGTTCTGAAATTCAATAGAATGAAATTAAATTAAAAACATGTTCCATCATGTATTAATATGTATTAACAAAATAATAAAGTAATATGTATTGATTGAAGCTTAATTAACATAAATAGTACTACTACTTCAATATCTCTTTTCTTTCGAAACATAGTAGCAGTAGAGCTCCTTGAAAGAGTTCGTCCAGTAAAGCACTCCTCCTTACTTATTTCTGCCGCCAAGCAGTAACGTCAGCATTAGGTATGTGTTCCGGTTTTGAAGGGACTTATCAACTTAAGTTTCAGGGTGATAATGCCCCTCAGATCTTCGCGATTTAAGTTCTAAGTGGGACTGCAGCTACCATAGATTTAGTATACGGTAGATACTGTTATGGACAAGTGTGTAGCTTAACATCAGGTGCACGACTTGTTCGTCCCGTCACTTGCTATTATAAAAAAACATTCATTTCTATATTAAACACCCTCTAAAATATCCTTAAAGAAAAGCTTCTCGGAAGATAAATCGATTAATTTGCTTTTCATTTCTGCACGAAATCACTTATGCTTCTTTTTCATTCATAAATCTTAGAACGAATGACTTATCGTCTCTGCTACACCATTCACTCATTTTATTTCATCGGACACCGGTGAGAGATTGGGGGTAAGTATTTTTTTTGTGTTTGTGTTAAATTTGACGATAACTTTAATTGTTTCATGTTTTATTATTCATTAAGATCGTATCCAATGTACTTAATCTGTTCTGTATACATAAAACGTAAATTAGGATTCAGAAACATCAACTTTCCCACATATGTTTTGTTTTGACCCTGAGATAAATACAAAGAATAATCACGTGATATCAACAAAACTTGTTTCGGCGATTTTCCCATGATAACGAGGTATAATGCACATATCACACAACATTATTTTTAATTCATACCTAAAATTAATTCACAATCTAAAAAGTTTTTTTAGTCCGAAATTTTTAAAACTTTTTCATCACACTTGCACGTAAATAGTATGATTGCAGGTAGGCTAACTGAATATAATGCCCCAAATAAAACCCTCAGGCCTTTTTTCTTTTCATTACCGACCATGGCTGTAACTTCTAATAGTCTCGTTCGTAATTTCTTATTTACCACCATAATACATATACACAATGTACTGTTAAAAAGTTCAATGGTGTAATAGTATATATAGATATCGTTGTGTGTAATGTACTAAAATTGTACCTATAAAGTTTTTAACTATTGCGTTATGAGTGACTAATGATTAAAACGCCATGATAAGATAAATCGCGGATTAATCATTCTTAATACACAACATTTACCGAAAGAAATTTAAATGTTTGTTCTACAATTTGAGCTATTTAAAACTTTTGTATCCGTTGCAACTTCATTGAAATTATTATCAAATTGGTTGGAGAACTATTTACTCGCATAATTAATGTGCCTCGTAATTGCACCCAATAGATAACACATGTTTAACTCCACAATGTTGAATGATGTAAGAAACATGGTGGGTGCATATGAAAAATCTATAATGACGCAAATCGCTGAAAACTAATGATTTCTGGATACCAACCTAATGATAATCCATCTACTATTATAAATATCAAGCTTAACGTTACATACTTTTAACCTTAGAATAATAACGCATAGAATGATAGTTTCATATCAAACGAACTGTCACAAGTGAGGCAAAAACCAAATTCATGTAGGCGTAAGCAACTTGTAACTACGCTCGTCGGCACGCACACAAATATACAAATAATGATGCCATGGAATAACATTTCCCTCAAAAGTGGGGAAATTGTATCTTGCTTAACTCATCATTAAGTTAAAGGTGCCTACAGATTTGCCCGACATTGTCGATCAGGTGCCTACAGATATGCTCGGTTTTGTCGATGAAAAACGAATATAGCACTTATTTGTAAATCCAAGATGGCGGACACGATTTTTCAAAATATGCTATATGGGTATCCTTTTCGAGGTATTTGGGGATGCTCATTACGAATATGGCACTCATTTC